GTGACATTTATCCGGTTCCACCAGGACACTTTAAATGTGCTGTTAAAATCTCACGGTATTTTAAAGTCTAAGAAAAATAATACTGACCTTTTCATCCATGTGACTTCTGTGGAATGCCGATGGCAAATGAAAAATACAGGCCAGGAGTCTTAATCTGCAGCCATAATTCCACACAAATCCTTAAGGTAAAATTAATAGTTTACCAAAGCTATTTAACTACATGATTATAACATAAACACTCATGAATGGGAACAAATTTGATTGTGTAAATAAAACATAGGCAACATACAAAACCAGATATACATTGCGAGTGATGCAAAACAAATGTGTTTAGGTACCACACTCTGTGTGTATCAGTAGTGCATACACAGCCACAGAAGTAGTAAATGTTTTGGGCATTGTGTTTTGGGGAAGCTATTGACAAACAAGAATTTATGAATAAAAAATAGGTCTGGAAAGAAAGTCTGTCCCAGCCCTAAATAATATTATGCCTATAATAAGAAATACTTGCCTTAACTGTTACTGAATTCCCAAGTGATGAAAAAATCTTCCTGGGTTGTTACATGCTTAGTTGCTCCTTAAATAGGAAACTTTTCTTAATATCTAGTTTATATGCTGCAAATTAAGCCCATCATTTCATATCCTCCCAGAATGGATGTGAAAGACAGATGATTGCGATAGTCTTCCCACATTTTTATACTGAACTTTTTTGTGCATATTCCCTTAATTTTCTCTTCTGATAGCTAGACAGCTCTTGTTATCTTTTCTCATAAATTATGTATTCAAGGCATATCTTTGTATTTGTGGGTGATCCCTGGGCTTGCTCTGGTTGGTTTGCACCCCTGTCATCCACCCTTGTGTGTGAGTTGGGGTTTGCCAGGCAGATCAGTGAAGTATCAATAAATTAATAAGATCTAATATAAAACTTTGAAACAATAAGAAATGGTTTGTTCACACGTAGAGAGGGAAAATCTGAAACATCCACTTATTTAGAGTCTATTTGAGTAACTGTAGGTGTTGAATATAGATCTTATCAGTGATCAGCATTCCTTCTTAATTTGCTTCCTTTCATAGAAGGAGGAAAAAGTTGATGAGATGCATTCATGTGCAAAGGAATTTCAAATTTGTTTATAGCAAAGCAATGATCCATCAGAACTGCTGCTGACTTTGAAGGATAAAGAAACACAGATTTTTCTCTGTGCCTGGTGCCCTCATGTGGCTTTGATGTTCAGCTTCTTGCGAATTAATTAAGTACATCACTGCATGGCTGACACCTTTGCAGTGTAAAAGGTAGAGAATAATTTGCCCATATAGCCTTGTATGTTCTTCTGTGAATACATCTTCTGGAAAGCCAAAATATGCTGGTTTCCATACGGCCAGCTGGATTTGGATATGCAAACTCCTTGAGTTCCCTAAGTTAAACCAAGAACATTTTCAGTCTTCACACGTTGATGTACGTGATTCTGACCTTAGTCCTCCAAGGGTTGTTATGGCTAAAAAGGTTTGTGCTAGAGTCGCTACCTTCCTTAGTGATACTGTTAAAAATGCCACCGTAGATCTATTGGTGCTTTTAAAGAGCTACAATTTTTTGCTTTTCAGATCTAATGTTAGGTCAAATTTTTATACTGTATACTGAGCTAAGATATCAAGGATTACTTCTGTCAGGAAACAGAGTTTAAAATGTACTTTCTCAGCTAACTTAAAATTGTCCCATTTTTCTTCCAGCTACAGCTGCAGTATGTACAAAGAAATTTCTATATTTAATGCTGTAAAATATACACAGGATAAATGTTTCTTTGCACAGCACTTCTGAGTCTGTCATTAGAATATTTCTAAATTACTGATCTAGATATTCCACTTTAAAACACATCATTTAGCCACAAACATTATACAAAAAACTTTATATAGCATATCCATTACTTGTCCATAAATTATAATAATAAAACTCTTGCACAAGCAAGAGGTGAATATAGTTGCTGTGGAGGCTGCTGGTGTGGTTTGATGCAATGGCTTTCTTGTGCTGCGCTTTCTAAAGGTGCTTGTCAAAGCTTTTCTTTACAGCTGGATGAGACAGATTTGATAGGTTTGGAAATTTTCCATTAGCTCTAAAAGACTATACATTTTTAAGAGACTTTGCAGAACTTTGAAACGTTTGAAATTTTACCTTGTCAGATTTTTTGATGGAATGGCACAGAATTGAAAATTCTGATTAAAAATTGAAAAAAAACCCACTTTCTTGTCATCCATACTACTATTAACAAAGATATATAGGGAGTTTGAAAATGAAGATGGAAAAAGATCTGAAGCTAAAGCAGCTGAAACCAGGCATATGCTTTTTTGTTAGTGTGACTCTAATGAACGTATTCATGCAAGTACCTGTGTGATAGCAGTCGTATAGCCTTTAATAAAGCTTGGCTAACAGTATTGCTGAGAACACTGTGACTTGTGTACCTCTGTAAGCATTGCATTTCTTTTTCTCCTGCTTTTTCTACAGATTCAGAATCCAGCTGTAACTTTGAGTGATTCCATCAGAAAAAAGTTCCAAAACTTTGAATGGTTCAATATTGTGGCACTATTGAGGGCATCTCCTCTGCCTCCCTCTTCCCTATTTTTTTAACTCTTTTTCTCCCAAATTGGAGTTACATTAGTGTACTTCTTTGAATTCACGCTATTTAAATTGTCTGCACCTGGGATTCACCCAAATACCTCTCCAGTTTGTCTTGGAGCGCAAATACAGAACAGAGCAAGAAAGATTTTGAGACAGTTTTTTCTTTGATCCTTCTTGTTCTTGTAATACCAAACCCAGTGAAACTTGCCATATTAGTGATGTTATCAACATTTTTCTTTCTAATAATCTCACTCAGAAGTTTCCTAAGTAACCTGTTAGTTCTTCTGCTAAGGTTTGAGGTAGACAAAGAAATCTAGCATAATTGCTACTAAAAATCATTAAATGTTAATATGTGTGAACTATAATACTAGTGCATGTACCAAGATTGTCATGTTTCATTTTTAAGATAAAATAATTTAACAGTATAAAGAGAAAAATCTAACATAAAAACAATCTACAGCTATTTAAATCTTTTCAGCTGTATCATTCTAAACAAAATGTTATTTTTTGTACTGTATCTCAGTCAACAAAATAGGCAATTTGCAGTGCCTTGCAACCCACCGTTGTTGATGCCATTCATTCTTCAACTATACGCCTGTGCTTGCTGAGCTCTAAATTCCAAGCTTCCCAAGTTAAGGAGGCTGTTCCTTCAGCTTTTCCTCTCATTATGTGGTATATGGAGATAAAATTGAGGTTTACAGAAGTCTACCATAAAGTATAGCAAAAGAGCAGACCGGTTCACTGGATGTCTGAGCTGCAAATTCTGATCACAACCCAACAGATTAGTAGTAATACTATTGTTATAAAACCCCAGCACTTGGTAAATGAGAAGTAAAGCAGGAGAATAATTCCTTAAACTACTATTTTTTTTCCTTGCAGTTTTGACACCAATTATTGGTGTAATTGGTGTAATATTGTAACATTTTTAGAAAGGGAAAAACATCTTTCATGGTTCATCCTCTATTCTGAAAGAGTAGATTTTTTTCCTAACTTTTTTTTTTTTTACACATTAGAATTAGGAATTGGTATAATACTTTCATAATGATTTTTTTTCTGTACCAATAATAAATTTATGAGCATAATTTGAAGCTCAAGGTGAAGCTCTGTATGGACTACCTCAAGTCTTGTCATGGTTGTAAGACATCTGAAAACACAGGAATTGCATGGGACTTAGCACTTGTTTTATCTGTTAGCTGTTTTGGCATTTTTCTGCACATATACATTTATTTTTCTCATGTCGTATACTAGATTTCTTTGTGAGTATGATCTATATAAGCTTACCTGTGCATGATTAAAGTAAAAGCAATCCCAAATATGCCATGTAGGTTAATCCATAAGACCCTATGTATGACTCACAATATAAGAACAGTAGAAGTTTAACTATAGAATTTGACTATAATGTAGAAGTGGAATGTTTTTAATGTTTATCAGTTTAATCAAGCAAGTGAATACACTTGGTCAAATTAAAATATCTAATTATTTATTCACATAGAAACCAGTAAATTTTAGGGTTTGTAGCACAAAACTTCTTGTTAAAAAAAGAAAACAAGCTATGCCATATAGCTCCTTTACTCTCAATAAAATAGCATCATTGCAGTTAAACTTAAGATTACAATAAAAATTAAACATTCCAGATTACATCGGTTGGAGCACAATGTGATGAATATAATGAGAAAATCCTTGTCAGAAATTTTACCACAAGGAAATATCAATAGCTAACACCCATATTCTCCAGCTAGAAATCAAGAATATTTGAGTAGATCTTGGCATAAAAGGCACAAAACACAAAGCAAAGCATGCTTGTGTCATTTGTCACAAAGAAGCATTGACATTTGTGCAACATGGAAAAAGAACAGCATTTTTCCAGACTCTTCCAATATCACAGATACTTAGGGAACAGATCTTCCCCTTAATGCCAAGTGTATGACTCCCAGTACAGATGGCAGTGGCTACAAAAGAGGAGTATATAGAAGAGGATACATCCATACCCTTCCGGGAGATCTTAGCTCATATATTGAGGAAGCTGCTGCTATTGTATTGTTAGTAGTAAATAAATATACTGCAGCCTTTTAATAATACAACTACTGGCAGCTAGCACTTGTGGGAATTATATAAGACTGGTAAGAATGTTAACAATGCTGGAAACCCCTCATAAACACAGGATTACCACTTGCATTTAAATGTGTGATGCCAGTTCCCTCTTTGCTTCAAATAAGATTTTTTTAAAAGTTTGAGTCCTTGAAAGGATGGACTCTTCAGAAGAGAATGCTGCCTATTGCACAGAGGAATGGCTTTTCTGATTTTAAGGTGCATCAGAAATACAGATCAAACATCCCTGGTATTCCCCTCTGTAACGGGCCATCATAGAAGCATCTTGTTAGCAGCCTATTTGCTATATTTCTATAACAAGCCTATCTTCATCATCACTGCTAGTGTCATCATATTCAACTCTGGTTTGCTTCCTCATCACCTCTAAACCTCTCTTTTTGTATATCTTGGAAGGTGTTGCAGAGTAAGTCTTGAACTCAGGGGACCTGAGAGTAATTGGGAGCTTTTTAAAGGCAGTAGTAGCTGTTTCGCGTGGCCTTCCATAGCTATTTGACTGCAGGTGGGTTCCATTCTTGTCTGCGCTTCCGTGAAGGTCAAGGATTTTTTGAGAAAAGTTTGCCCGCTCTGTGTATACTGTACTGGGTAATTTAGCCCTTGTGACTGACTCAGGATGAGACTCTGCTTTTGATCTGAATACATGTGAACATCCAGGCTGGGAACTGGGACTTGAGTTTTCTTTTAGAGATGAATATGTGTTTTCTTCAGTTGGAGGTTTCTCCCTTCCTGAGGCCTGGATCACCGGGTCTAATGTACCAAATATTTGACTCTCTGACTCTACATTTAGTATGTTTTCCTGGCTTGCTTCTAGATGTAAGGAAAGAGGACCAGTAGGCTCTGAGTTCCTGCTGTCAAGTTGGTCACCTGTGCCTGTATTTGTAAAATCAAAAGGGCATGACCAAAAAGAAGATGCCATTGAGTCACTCTGAATGTTTGGCTGTGAATCCCCTGGGATTGATTGCTGAAGCACAAGTGGTTGTGTCACTAAACAGCAGATTTCCACATCACTGCTGACTTGCTGCGTGGCTGTATTAACTGTGGATGAAAAGGAATGAGCTGTCATAGATATTTCCAAGTTTGTTCTTGTGTGTTCCCTGATTTTCCCAGAAATGTCCTGTAGAAATTAGGGGGGCAAAACAATTTACACTTAAAATTTTCAATCCAGAGCAATTCCATCCTCCATAAAAGTGCAATGATAACTAAGTTGACTATATCAGTAGACAACATTTACTTCTGCTATAACTCATATCAACTGAGTAATTAAACATAATGTCAACCTTTATTTATACAACTATGATTATATTTGCACTCTTTTTTTTTTTCATTACTGCAGACCAAGTTAGTCATCTCTCTTTTGATGAGAAAACTTTTTTTTTCCTTCCAGTGTATGGGGGAGGTGTAGTAAAGGATGTATTTTTTCCTTTTTTTTTTTTTTTTTTTCTTGGATAGGTGACAGACCATGCTAATAATTTATGGATGATGGGGTTAGGGGTTTGAAGCTGCATTCTTATGTACTGTCTAGGATGATGTTCTTTTCATTAAGATATTTTAATTTACATATTGCAACGATGTTTGTGCAATGTAGGGGGAAAGGTTTGTGATGAATCTGTAAGAAATATTACAATGTCCGAGGTGGTGAGATATGGGTAGGAAGTAAAACTACTTAGTAAAAAACATTTATTAGGTTCCTTACTATGATACTGCTTATGCTACATGAAGAACCAGTGCTCATGCTACATAACAGCAGTATGGCTCAGTAGCTTTGGACTTCAAGTGCAGCCAGCAGTTGTCTAGGGAAAAGTATAAGTAGGATAAGCATAGAATACTCCCAGAAGCTGTGCTGACACTGCGTAGAACAGTGCTGTTTGCAGCACGTGCAGATGTGTCTAAGGACCTTCTAGCTAATGCAGCTATTGGTAGCATTGAAACCACAGCAGCACTGGCTTCCACAAAGGGCTAAAGAAATTCAGTTGTGACGCTGGGTACACATTCTTCCCACCACTGTGTGGCCATTACTACCCTCCCCACTTTTCTAGTTTCAAGCTTACTGCCTCTGTCTCAGGATACTCTGTGCTACATCTACTGGCACCTCTGAAATCAGTGCTAATCAAATCTCTGACAACAAGCACAAGAAATATCCTTTTCAATTGATGCAAGTTTAATTGTTCTTTTAAAAAAGCTAATTCTAGCATTAGTAAGTTTTCATTATATTTTAACCTCAAAAATACCTTTAACACATTTTTAAACAAAATCTGTGATACAAAGTAGTCTCAACTTGAACTTTAAAACAGCTGAATGTAATTCAGGATTTAATTACCAGTATCTTTTTTTCTTTTAATAAAAAGTAATCCATGAATTAAGGTACAATACCTACTTTTTTATCCATTTTGTCTTTTTGTTTAACATGGTTTAGATTTTCAGTATGGGAAGATATTCCCGAGTTATTCTTTCCTTCTTTTTTCCTTCTGCAAAGTGGCTTGTCTGAGGTGGAAAAAGATGTGTCTTTTTGCTGGTGTAGGTAATTTTCTATTGAAAAGAGGTTGAAGAAACTTTTACTTTGATTTTTATTCCCCCACATGCTAGAACTTACTAAATTTCCCATCATATCACTGAACAAACTTCTATGTTTTTACTGTTTTCTGTAAAATTCTATTCTAAGCCTGATACATTTTCTCATTTACTTATATATGTTTGTTTTTTGTTTTTCTTTTTAATTGGCCATTACCATCCTGCAAAGTAATAGCTACTCTATCTGCTATGAATGAACACAAGGTATTGTCCCTGCTTCCAAGATGGTTGTGGCATAAACATCATTTGCATTAATACTGCTAATTAAACGGGGGGGTGTGGAAACACAGAAAGCAAGTCAATACTCCAAACTCATTTCACACTGCAATTGTACAATCTTGTTTCAGAAACTGATAAAGATCCATCTTAAAACTGTTTAGGCTTCTAGTGGAAGGTGATTTTGAGTTATAGAATCATAGAATGGTTTGGGTTGGAAGGGACCTTGAAGATCATCTGGTTCCAACCCCCCTGCCCTGGGCAGGGACACCTTCCACTAGAGCAGGTTGCTCAAAGCCCCATCCAGCCTGGCCTTGAACAATTCCAGGGATGGGGCAGCCACAGCCTCTCTGGGCAACCTCTTCCAGCGCCTCACCACTCTCACAGCGAAGAACTTCTTCCTCACATCTAGTCTAAATCTACCCTCTTTCAGTTTAAAGCCATTACCCCTTGCCCTATCACTACATGCCCGTGTAAAAAGTCCCTCTCCAGCTTTCCTGCAGCCCCCTTTGGGTACTGGCAGGCTGCTGGAAGGTCTCCCCGGAGCCTTCTCTTCTCCAGGCTGAACAACCCCAACTCTCTCAGCCTGCCTTCACAGGAGAGGTGCTCCAGCCCTCTGATCATCCTGGTGTGCCTCCTCTGGACTCGCTCCAACAGGTCCATGTCCTTCTCATGGTGGGGGCCCCAGAGCTGAACGCAGTACTCCAACGAGAGTGGAGTAGAGGGGGAGAATCACTTCCCTCACCTGGTGGTGATGCTTCTCTTGATGCAGCCCAGGATACGGTTGGCTTTCTGGGCTGCAAGCACATATTGCTGGGTCATGTTGAGCTTCTTGTCAACCAACACCCCCAAGTCCTTCTCCTCAGGGCTGCTCTCAATCCACTCATTGCCCAGCCTGTATTTGTGCCTGGGATTGCCCCAACCCATGGGCAGGACCTTGCACTTGGCCTCGTTGAACTTCATGAGGTTTGCACAGGCCTCTTAAACCTGTCAAGGTCCCTCTAGATGGCATCCCTTCTGTCCAGCGCATTGATCGCACCACACAGCTTGGTGTTAGCACACTTGCTGAGGGTGCACTCAATTCCACTTTCCATGTCGCCGACAAAGATGTTAAACAGTGCTGGTCCCAATGTTTCCCTAGCATTCCTTTTATCACTGACGTGCCTATAGAAGCTTTTCTTATTGCCCTTGACAATCCTGGCCAGATTTAATTCTATCAAGGCTTTAGCTTTCCTAACCTGATCCCTGGCTGCTCAGACAATTTTTCTGTATTCCTCCCAAGCTACCTGTCCTTGCTTCCACCCTCTGTAGGCTTCCTTTTTGTGTTTTTGCCTGACTTCCTCTTTGTTGGGATGCATCACTCCTGAGCTTGGAGGAGGTGGTCCTTGAATATTAACCAGCTTTCTCGGGCCCCTCTTCCCTCCAGGGCTTTATCCCATGGCACTCTACCAAGCAGGTCCCTGAAGAGGCCAAAGTCTGCTCTCCTGAAGCCCAGGGTAGCGAGCTTGCTGTGTGCCCTCCTCACTGCCCTAAGGATCTTGAACTCCACCATTTCACGGTCACTGCAGCCAAAGCTGCCCTTGAGCTTCACATTCCCCACCAGCCCCTCCTTGTTGGTGAGATCAAGGTCCAGCATAGCACCTCTCCTCACTGGCTCCTGCATCACCTGGAGAAGGTTGTTGTCATCAGTGCATTCCAGGAACCCCCTAGATTTCTTATGCCCTGCTGTGTTGTCCCTCCAACAGATATCGGGGTGGTTGAAGTTGCCCATGAGGACCAGGGCTTATGAATGTGAGGCTGCTCCTGTCTGTCTAGAGAGGGCCTCACCTGCTCAGTCTTCCTGGTAGCAGACCCCCACTATAATGTCACCTGTCCCTGTCCTCCCTTTAATCCTGACCCATAAGCTCTTGGTCAGCTCCTCATCCATTCCCAGATGGAGCTCCATGCACTCCAGCTGGTCACTGACATAGAGGGTGACACCCCCTCCTCATCTGCCCTGCCTCTCCTTCCTAAAGAGCCTGAATCCTTCCATTCCAACACCCCAGACATAGGAGCCATCCCACCACGTCTCCATGATGCCAGTAAGATCGTAGCCCTGTAGGTGTGCGCACATCTCTAACTCCTCTTGTTTATTCCCCATGCTACGTGTGTTTGGATAGAGGCATTTCAGTTGGGTCCCTGATGAAGCTGACTTACTGGCTGGAGTTATTTCTTTTTAAATTGCCCTCCTAATTGTCAAATTCACATATGTAAGTGTGTGTATGAAAATAATTGTGTGTTCAGTTCTGAAAATATGCGAGATGTTTGTATTTTTACTCACAGAACATACTGAAGGACAAAAGTGTTTTTGCAGTTCTATGTGGAACAGGTTCATGTCAGAGATACTGCTAACGTTCATTCTCTTAAAAAATAAACATTCAATATATTAAAAAATATTCAAAATACTTACCTTGTACCTTTGATTGAGCAGAATAGGACTTCTTATACTTCTTAAATTTACAGGGTTGTGATGAATAGCCCTTTTTCAAAGCATCCAGTGTTCTATTTGGAAAACAGTGCCGCTTGCTTAGTCGGTTAATTTTGAACTGAGCATATCCATGTACATGCCTCCCTCTGTACCTGTATTGCCAATGGGTAAAAAAAGGTAAAAAAAAGGGTAAAAAAAATGTGCGATTTAAAAGCAGCCAGAGTAGAATAATACCACATCATCAGGTAAATTTAAGTCTAACAGCACGTTACTACTGTGAAGGAGATGTTTGTTTATGTAGATTAAAAAAAAAATTGGGATTTTAGGCAAGAGACCCATAATTATTTTTTATTAAATTTTTCCTCAGTAAGTTTCAGTAAATCCTTGGTTTGCTAACAGAAAAGGATTCAGGAATAACAGATCCTTTTTCCTATATCTGGAATTTTAAAACAACATACTTCATAAAGACTTGAATTGCACAGGAATCACCTGAGGCTGCATAGTTGTTGGATTTTTTACTTTTCACTTCTTATGTGCTACCTATTCATCATCCCTAATGAACAACACAAGTATTTCAGTTATTTAGAAAACTCACCCAGAATAATCCAACTCTGCTTTGTTTTCTACTCTAGCTAGATCCTTCAATAACTCTTAATAATTGAGACTGAAGTACATTGGAAGGTCCCACTCCTGTATCGATAGAATCAGTCACTATACACAGTGTAATAAGTAAATCTAAAAGGGCGTGCTTATTCAGGTGTTTCATGTATTAGAAAAAGATCCTACATTTCATGATTAATAGTTTGGCCACATAGCTACTAATGTGTATGACACGAGCTTTCAGGACCCTGTATTTAATTAAGACCCTGTACTTCTTTGATATAGCCAAATAAATAAATTCTGAAACCAGAGGGAGAAAACAAAAAAACACACAAAAACCAAACCAGAAAAAAGTCCTAGAAGAATGTCACTAGACTGGATAACACAGACCTGAGTCTTCTATTTTTGTTCTTATGGTCCTTCAAAATTGCAGTGCTGTTTGCCAAACTAGACACCGTGATTAAGTTACTGACACTGATTTGTCCACAAGGGAGTCACTCTGTCTGATTTTGGTCATGAAATAAAATAAGAGGGATGTAAGCACACAATATGTTTTTCTTATTGAAGCAATTCCTCAGACTACCCCACACTCTTGAAAGATTAGAAGCTAAGTCTTCCACTGATATGAACTCCCATTAAATACAGAGCTGTGCTGATTGATACAATGTGCCTTTGATAGTTTTCTACTGAAATTCTTCCCGCTTTTTATTTAAACGAATGATCCTTTAAACTACAGATGGTTTTGTTAGTTTGTGTTAAAACTTGATATTTATTCTTCTGCATTCTCTTGTGAGTACAAGTTCAGGATATAGATCTGGGGACAAAAGCGTCTCACACACTGCTTTTAGATGTAACAGGATTAAAAACTGAAGTATTTTGGTTCCCTTCAAAGCAAAGTAAATGCTGACAATTTTGACAGATAAGAATCATTTCTAAAGCACAGTGAGAGTCAACTGACCAGTCATCATCTTTCTTTGCTATATGTCTGTTTTGCTTAGAAAAGTCTGTACCTGATAGTAAACAACATACTGATATTTTTTTATAATTTACCTTTGTGGAACTGCTGCAATGTGGGAGTAGTTCTTTCTGAGAGATTGATTTTTTTTTTCCCCTGATTTTGACAAGGTTGAATTTTGGGGATGACTTGTTATTTTCTGTGGACTTTTTACACCCATTTTAGCAAAATTATATCTGTATCTAGAGAAGCTGAAAACCATATTCCTTACCACTTCGGGGTGACTTTAATCTTTTTCTGTTTGTGGCTCCTCTTGAGTTTATTTGTTGAGAGTTTTTCCTTTTTGCAAACTAGTGTTTTCTTCTTTTGCTCTGAAATATTTTTGAAAGCAGCACCAGGAGCTGCTGAGCTTAACTGTTGAGAATATTGAAAAAAAATTAAGTATATGAAAATTGTGAATTACAGTAACTGAGAGATTGGAAATCTATGCTCTTTTTAGATAGCACTGAATAGCATAGTAGTTAAATAGCACAATTCTGAATTTTTCCTAGAATTTGTGTGTTAGTTTTTTCTAATCACTTTGTCCATCTACTTTTGTAAAATAAAATTAAAATAACTCACTGCTTTTGTGGATCTATATAGAATTAGTATATGATATTTCATATTCTTCTTCCTATATAAAAAGTAAGTTTAGTCTTACAGACCTGTTCTAGGATCTGTACAGACAGACTAGTCTATCTTCACTTACCTAAAAAAAGAAAAGCTTTCAAGCTTTAAACACTTTACAGGGTATTAATGCAATTTGGTTTTGTTGACATTTCAGTGCATCTAAACAATAAGAGATTTAGTACACAGTCTGCCTTTGACTCCAAGTATCTCCAAGTATAATAAAGTCTTGACATTAGTGGTTTACTTAAGTCCTACTCTAATTCAAATATTCATTTAAAATTAAAAGTGAAATATATATGTTGTTACAGAATAATATAAAATATACTCATAAGGGGAAAAATCAAGAAATACAAATACACTCTTCTCACTAGACAGCATTCCTACTGAAATTCTCAAGTGAAAGAAACTTATTCACACAAAAGTATGTATTTTTCATGAATCAAATGAATATGTAACTTATCTTATAAAAACATAAATTGTAAATTCTGTAATTTGTATGAATCTGTACAAATGCCTGTAAATGTCCATAAATATACTTTTGATAATTCTTTTACTTTTCTAATGGGGGGGGGGTGCCAGCCAATTACACCCTCTTGAGAAAGGAAATAGGATTATTAATATTACCTCCTGCATCTGTTCTCCTTTAGAAAAGGATGAAACCAATGTTTTTAAACTCCTGTTTGTTAAGCCATATGCCACAGTCTTGCTAATATTTTTCATTTTGAAAATGGAAATATCATATTTTGACAGTGTGCATTCATTGCTAAATTCCTTGTCACAGGTATGCATGGAGGAATAAGCAGAGTCTGCATTCCCCTTCTGCTCAGCAGGCAGAGGAAGGCTTCTTGTTAAACAACACCAAGTCAATCGAGGTTCAGCATTTAGTGATGGGAAGGTGCTCTTTGTACTTGATACTGTTAAACTTCCAGAGTAGCAAGACAGATTATTGTGGGGTAGCACTGGGAATTCTCTACAGTGAGTGGTGAGAGTGTGGCAATAAAATGTGCCAAAAGAATGGCAAAAATAAGCGGGGTTGTCTGTTGAGCTCTGAGAATGCTGCATATCCTGCAGTGTTGGTGAAATGTCCTTAAGAGTGCATGGACTTCCGCCTCTGTCCCATCCCACGACTGTTGGCTCTGCACCCTTGCTAGAAGCTGACGTCATTGTCAAAGAGTCACTTCCTGAGCAAAGATGATGTAAAACCTTTCTCTCTTCTTTGATGTCAGCTGATATGAAAAAACCACTTGTATACATAGAAGTAAAGCATATTTTCTTCTTTGGGGTCTGTGTAGAGGAAGCAGTTATGCTCATCCACTTCTCTTCTGTTTGCCTTTGATAATTTAATTTATTTTTGTTCTGTTTGTTTTTCCAAGCATCTCTTACAATATCCTGCTGCCTGAAGTTTTGGTTATAAAAGGTGTTATCTGCTGTGGTTAAGGTATTTGTTGTTTCTGAATTGACTGGTGAACAAAATGCTGGAGTTTTCCAGTTTGCATGTACGTTCCATCGTAGCTCTCCTTTGCTGGCCTTTTGTCTCACTTCAAATTTTAAAGGGGACCAAAATACATCATTAGAATGAGAACTGAGTGATCCGCTGTTGGAAGAGCAGGGGGGGGTAGTTAAGTTGTCTGTCACAGATGTGCAAGGTGTAATCTTCTGTTCTGATCCAAGAAAAAGCGACAAATCTGAGGCTCTCTTGTCTTGCGGCAATTTAAGGATATATTTTGGAGAAAAGGCATTTTGTTGTGGGACTGGAGTTAAATGACCAGGTTTCAGATGATGAATTTTAGAAGACACATCAACAGCATTGTCACTGAAAAGTGCTACTTTTGCTCCTGTTTTCACAAGACATGTTTTGACATCCTTATCTGTTGTGTTGTGCAAGGCAGAAGAGTTGCAATCACTTCCCCTTAATTCAGGCCCTAAAACTCCCACAAATGAAGCTTTTGAGATACCTGCTGAATGTGAAAGAAGGTTAACATCACTATAATTAAGAGCTTTTGTGGGGAGTTTGATTGTTTTCGTATATTCCACATTCTCAGAACCTCCAGTGCATTCATTAATTCCTGCACTTAATTTTTGCTCCTCTGCTTTACTGGAGAATTTCACTGGTGCTGTGGAAAGACATCGAGTGCTAGCACAACAGACTTTCTCTCCTTCATTCACTGCATTGTTTTCACTACTGGGACTAGGGCAGGACTTTGAAATAATGTTTTGTGTCTTCTCCACTTCAAATTTCAGCTTTTTTCTTTCTGACGGTGAATTCTGGGATTTCCCTGTGCCTTCTCTGCTGTTGTTGCAATGGACCCATGGGGGTGTCAGGGCATGCTGGCCAGTTTCTTTATTCCTGCTATGGTTTCCATAACTGTTTGAAGTGCTTTTACAATCTGATTCAAATGTACTAGATTCTTTCCCAAGGCTTGGTTTTTCCCATTTGCTACTCTGTACTGGCAAGTAGTCATCATTCCTTCTGTTAGCACTCAGCTGACACTGAGTATTTTGAAGCCTGGACTCACAACTGCTTGGAGCTAGTAATGTGCTGTTGCCAGCTGTGTATTTATCTGTGTCACTCCCACTGAGGTCTTGGGAAGTTTTGCTCATTACAGTATGTGCGCTAGCGTTTACTGAATGTGATGTCTCCATTAGGTAGGTTACACTGTCTGCAGTTTCCTCAGAGGACACATTCTCTGGAATATGATTACCATTAGTACAGGTTTCTGATTTACCAGTGTTTAAACCTGTTGTAACAAGGGAGGAAAGACTGTCACTTACAGAGTGCCTGCCATCTCTTTCCTCAGTAATTTCAGTACTGCTGACTGATTCCTTTGAATTGGGAGTGAAGCTTGTAATATCTGTAATCTTATTTCCCCTTTGTTTAATTTTCTTGGCACTTTGACTGCTTTTCATTTTTTGGTAGATTTTCTTAAATGTTTCATCTCCATACATTTGCCACTTTTCTTGAGAGAACATCTTTAACTTCCTTTGATTGTGTTTCTTATTTTTAGCACTGATTACTTCGCCAGCCCCAAGCTTTTTAGTCCCTTGCAACTCCTCTGATGGAGGAGTATGATCAACCACACTACTTAGTGGCAAATCATCCACTGCTGTTTGTCTGACTAGAGCTCGGGGATGGCTATTAGGAAAATCCACTGAATCTGCAGCAAGATTGTTGCTAGGCAGCAAACTAGCAGTGCCTGTATTTACTGACTGCTTAGTAAGAGAAAGTGGCTTTGAGCAACCTGCTTTGTCATGTACCATTCTTGTGCCCTCCACAAATGGCAAGGAGTTGCTCCGTGTAACAGGCACAGTATCTATCGTTGTGGAGAATTGGGTGGGAACTGAATGAAAAAACATTGGCTTGCATTTTTCTAGGGGTGCAAAGGTAGATTTTGCTGAACAAAGTGAAAGATTCTTTTTCCTATTTACATCACAAGTTCTGATGTCAAAATGGAAAGAGTCTTTGTATGTATAAGGCATTGGCAGATCAATGCTTCCCTGCTTTGAAAGGACAGTTTTTCTGGGCCTAACATTGTCTAAGTGGGTATCATCCACCACACTTTTGTTATGAGAAATAAGTTTTGAAATGTGTTCTTCCAGCCTTTTTTTCTCTAGCATCAAGGCTGTAGCTTTCTCAGCTGCATCTAGCTTTGCACTGCTTGCGGAGGTACACCTTAAGCTGCTGAAAGCAGTTTCGTTTTCCAGTTCTGTGCTGTGTTCATAGAGACTATGCAACGGGCTGGATGATGCCATCTGTTGTTCTGTACTATCAGAGCGTGACAGATACCCTGAGTCAGTGCTCTCACACTTCTTTAGCTTGCAGTCAAATGGCTTGTAATCCCACTGTTTTTCTGAAGAGGTTGCTTGCTGCCTTTGCAACTGAATATGCTTATTGGCAGTTGGAGTTCTTTGCTCCTGTACGTTCTTTCTCTGGCACTGACCATTTGGCAAAGCTCCTGGAGATGATAAACTTTGAGGTTCTCTTTCAGGAACCCCCTGATTAGCCTTTGAACTAAAGGACTGATTCGTTGTTTCATGATTTTCTGAAGCAAATGATGAACTGTTTGTTGCTGGCAGCGAAAGGTCATTAAGATGTTTCTTAGTGTCTGTGGGAGCACTGGTCTCTGAACTCATTTGTTTCATCTGTATCCCCTCGTCTTCACAGGTGCTACTAAGTAGTTTGCTGCCTTGATGTGGGGTGATGCTCTCTGTTGATTTCTCATTTTGCTCCAATATACCACTGTTGTCAGAGTCTGAGGGCAGTCTGGTATTGTTGACGTGTGTTTGAGTTCTTCTGTGTTTATACAAATTGCTTTGAGTTTTAAATGCAATACCACAAGTGGTGCATGGAAAGGGCCTCTCTCCTGTGTGAGAGCGAATATGTTTCTCAAGGACACTTGGCTTCAAACAGTCTCGTCCACAGTGTTTGCAGATATATTTCCCAGCTTTTTTTGATTTTCCTGGGCTTCCAAGAGATGCATTTACACAAGAATTTGGTGATGATAAAACTGGTAAAGTGCTCACTATGTTCAATGTTAGAGTTTGTCCAAGTTGTTTCTGAAAAACTGACTGAGGCTGATCTGTGCCTTCTGAAGCAACAAGTGGACTCAGGATTAGAGGTATGTTACTGCTGTCTAGATTTACACAGCTCCTGCCAGTCACTAACTGACGGTTTGGCTGAAAGCATCCTGCCTGGACAGGCTGATACAGTGGTATGGTAAGGGCTTTTAGATACACAGGTTGGGACAGTGCTTGTTCCTGTTGAGGAATCACACTGCCTTGGCTGAGATCTGAAGAACCCTGTGCAGGCTGAAGAGAAGAGGTTGAAACTGGTCGATCTGCTACTGCGACTGTAAAACCAGGCTGCTTCTGTGCCTCCATTTCAAAGGTTATCTGCCATATGCTCATGTATCTGTAAGGGAGGGGAAACAAAACAAGTAGGAGTCTTCAGATAGCAAAATAAAACACTTTCATCTGCTGGACTGGGAAAGTTGGCAATTAAGAATATCACAAATCTTGTATACAGGCATTATACAGACAATAATTACTTCATTTTCAAATTAAATTGGTTCATTTTTCATTTCTTAGCTAGGAATTAAAGTTCGGTACAGCGTAAAGAACATTGAACATTGCACTTAAAACCTACAATAAGGACCCAAAGTATTAGAAATAAATCTGAGTATCAGATTTGCAAATGGAGGTTCTCAGCACCCCAGAAATAACACAATTGTGATTTTCTGGAACCATATTGCCATTACGTATTTGTACCATTTTTTTTAAATTTAAGAATTTACATTAATAAATGTTATATAGAAACACAGAACAAATAAGGTTAGACAGGATCTCAGGAGGTCTCTAGTCCAAACACCTGCTCAAAGCAGAGTTAGCACTGAGGTCGGATGAGGTTGCTCAGGATGTTATCCAGTCTGGTTTTGAAAACCTCTGAGGATAAAAACTGCACAGCTTCTTTAGGCAACCTGCTCCAAACACAGGACATTAAATATGGCTGTGTATTATCTGTGTTTACCCAATTTAAGTGAGCTAAGGCTAAATAAATTGCAACAAGTGATGCAAAATGAAAATAGGTGAACAAAATGAAACTGATGTCGTGTTTTACAAGTGAGATTTACATAAATATGTACCAAGTAGAAAAGATGGTATCATAGGAAAGTAGTGGGATAAATTAAAGCTGTCTTTCATGTAGTCCAAATTAATTTTGTCTAATTAAGGGCAATATTATGGTATACTGCTTATTTTCAGATGCTTTCAATGCCAGATGAAAACATTTTGTAGACACAGTTTTTTGGAAAAAGTAAGCCTATTCTTATGAAATCTGTCCAAATATATTCCGGGTTGGTGCTGGTCCAGACTACTTTTTATTTTAACAAAAATTAGTCTTGTCTTTTTTCTTTCTTAGAAACAAACTAGGAAACTATCAAAATAAGCTACTTGAAAATTATCTTTGGAAGAGCTGATAGAGGCATCAGCATAACCTCTTGTAATTATAGGTTGGGTGAAAATTAGAAGGTGGTCTGTAAATGTTTATTCAAATTCTTATTCAGCTATACTCACAGCTCTGTATCCATTGGCTGTTATAATAGGCTGTTCTTGTGCAAACAGTCATAAAAATCCCATTTGAAATAATATAGCCAGTGGCTAACTGTGAAATCTGCAGTTTGTTGCCTTACTGCATAATCTGTAGTGGTGTTTCTGTACCTTCCTTGGATCATTTTAATAGGTAATCATTACTGGGAAACAGTAAAAAAAAATTACTCAAAAATGTTTGACATTTGGACTGGTTCCATATGACACACACACTATGTTACCGTTATTCAAGGCAAAATCTCAGTTGCATGTAGTTACTGAGAATTTTGCAAATAATTAACATAAAGGAGGAATGGCAAACTCAGTGTAATTGGTTTTGAGTGTTCCTCTGTTACTGTTAGAACAATTAATAAAACTTGTAAATTGATAGAAAGTTGGATGGAGATCCAAGAGAAGTTCTGTTACTTCACAACTGAAAATGATAGCATCTCACTCGCATCACACGCAAAAATGGGAAAATAACTTTCTATTAATGATCAAATGGAACAGGTTAAGGTCGATGAGTTATATGCTCCATAATAAATGTAATTAGCATCTTAATAAATAGACTAGGAATTCAGGTAGTTTTCATAGTAAATGTATGCACCATTGAAACTGAAAGGTAAAGCAACCCTCTTGTTTATTAGTCTTCTGCAAAGGAAAAGGTTTTGCATATTAGGATATTGCCTTTAATCTGACTGATTATTTCATCCCTATGTGTAGCTCATAATGCAACTGTAAATACTTGTCTCCTTGAGCAACAGAAAACTAATGTACCAAGAACCCAGTAGCTATTACTCTGCGCTCCTCACTCTGCACCACTTGTGGAAGTTCTTTTGCTGGCTGGCAGCTTAGGTTTCACAGCCAAGGCTGCTTCCAGTTTCTCTTTTATCTTCTTTGCTTATTGCAAGAATTGGAAAAGTGGAGGAAAAAACAGCAATGCAGTCTCTGGGATGTGTTCTCTGACTTTCCTTCTGGTGACAAGCAAGGCCATTAGCTTCTCTGCATGCGTTACATGCATCAACAAAACTGCTGATGAGCCACTAAGTAACTGAGAAGCTTGCTACCAACTGCAGTGGGCTCAGGGTTAGACCATTTATGGGAAGGGTATCAGTGCCTGATGGGATTCTTTGTCTTCACCCAAAGATTTTAGTGTAACAAAAATCCCGGAAAACAACCTGTAAAATGAACTGATCTGTGCACTTCAATGTGTTAGATTTTGCCTTTTCTCCTTTCTCATGAAATTTATAAATCAAACTCAGTTATCAAGCATGGACTTTTTTTGTCCGCTTCAGAGATTTCTACATGGAACAATCACTGAAGTGGCTTTGTAATATAGGTATTGAGTCTATTGATGAAATAATGTTAAAAGAATGTGGCTCGTTAAAGGAATTAAGTTATTATCCATATTCTGCAGTGTGGTTAACACTATGGGATAAAAGTGGATTTCTCTAATTTGCAAAGTGAGGTCATAGACATTTCAAGGCCATTTAAGATGGTTCTTAAGCTATACAGTCATCTTTATAGCAATTTAAACACAGCATACAATAAAAACGGCAGCAAGTGATAAGACATGAGCCAATGATACTCATAAACTAAGCATGCAGTAGTTTTTCCAAAGATGTGAAAATAAAGAAAAGTTGAGGGAAAAAAAAAATATGCTGCAGAGGCAAGACTCAAAGAAGAAAGGTGAAGTCTGAATTCCATGTACCTACAACATCTAACAAGTACCACATCAGATGAAACAAGCCGTAAGTATCTATGCTCACCTCCTTCCCCTGGAGAGAAGAGTGGAAATGTGGAATTTACATTTCCACCCCAGTAAGCCTGCTCCAGTGTCACAGACTATGTTCTCTCTTTGAGTATCCTTATGTGCATGCATACTTGATGGGCCCTTCAAGGCCAGCCTGTAAGTTAGTAGGACTTGCGGTGGGCAGATGTTTTTCATATGAAACCTGTAGTTCCAAAGTACCAGACTCTTTGTGTAATTTCACTTATTCTGTTAAGTTTCTGGGGCCCAAAATATAATGTAGTCCTGAGAATCATTTCAGTGCTCTGTAACGTTCTACAAAGAAAATATGTAACTGATTACAGAAAATTTAAAGGAAAGTTTTAACTAATGCTGAACAATTAAACTAAATGGTGATACACAATGTCATTACTTTTAAGAGTTTAATAATAGATTTCTACCAGCTGTGGTAGTTTTCTGCTTTTCACAGCAAAAAAAAGATACTTTCTTCCTAAGTGAAACTTCTGTGGCTTGTATTCTGTGTGGCGAATACAACCATAATTTTCACATCTGTCATTTATATACAGAACAAGCCACTGTATTTTTTTTGTACATTGACAAAAATAGCTTATCTCAAACTAATTCTACCCCATGGCTAATTCTGCGTAGTCCTTGCTTAAAGTAGAAAAAATTCCGTTGTTGATTATGCCCCAGGCTCTCTTACTGAGCATCTATGTGATGTTCTGAGCTCAATTTATAACTTGTGGCATCAAACTACTAGTATAGAAACTTGATCCTAATTAGAAAAAAAAAAAATTCCAATAAACAAAACCAAAAGCAGAATTTGGCCAGTCCAAAATTTTCTAAATTAGTTTCTTAAGCTATCAAAACTGGTCAATAAGATTCTGTTTGAATACAATTATTTAGTTCCTAGTTTGAATTATACCTTCAGGTACACACCATAGGTAGGACCGTGGAACACTGAAAAGTCAAAAAGTGGAGTAGTTTCAGATGACAAATCAGGGTAGCAGAAACTGTCTTATTCTGTATATAAGTATAAAGTATTTTAATAAGAGGGGAGTGGTATAAAAAACTCATTTTAAATCCAATGTGTTCCTCTTTTCTATGTAATTTTTTTCTGAATTCCAAATAGATTTCATAAAACTTGCTTCATTTTATCAGCACTGTTATAATAATCTTGGATTATACAGCCTAAAGATTTTTGTCTTCTGCATGGCACATGTGAATGCACTGTCAATTGCCCATCATTATTAATAAAAACATTAAATAAACATGTAACTGCTTATTTCCTCCACCTACATATAATTTTTTGACACACCATTGAGAGGATCATCATAGTCTTTAAGCAGATGTAGTACTCAATCCCCTGGCTTGGTCTACAGGTATAATCTGTAGACATGACAGAATTAGTTTATTTTTGTAACCACACAGAAGCAGCTTTTCAACATTCTGAACATACATAGTATGCTATATTACACTAGAAGTCTTTGCCTTTTTTAAAAGCTTTTGGTGATCCCTACCTTAAATATAATAACAGAGAGCATACAGAAGTAGAATCCTCTTTAGTCTAAATAATTTTAGCTCACGTACCTTTTATTGAGCCAGGCATTTCAGCAAAAGAAGTCTCATTTCTGTCAATACTTGATGCAAGCAGAGAGAAACGAGGACAAAGACTTGAAACAGATTAGAAGTAGGAAGTTGTTTTTTTCTTTTTTTTTTCACGTTGGTGTCACAGTAACAACCTTCAGAAAACAGGAAGAGATGAAACAGAAGAAAATGAAGTAGCATTTCAATCCCTTTGTATCTTTTATCATTATTCATGCAGGAACCTATAAACAGAATCGGCTGCCTTTGAAATGTAGGCATTTTGTACACTGCAGTCAATTGTATCATTCAGTGAAATACACTGACACAATGGTAGAATTTTTTTCTTTATACCCCTAAAGGTAATTTGCTTAGAACTTTACAATAAAGATCTCTCTTAAAATGTGTTGGAAAAGAAAACAATGGTGAAGAGAAGACACTTGCTACATACGAAATGCTAAACTTAGCCAGCATGGGTACTGTCCACCAGCTTGTCCTAATGGTGCCCTGCGGTAGGACAGAAAGCAGTAAACAGGAAGGAAAATACTTCAAGAATGTTAAAAGTGTTTAGGACATGCTCAACTAACCTCCCTACAACTTGTGAACAGCTGCAGGGAAAACAGGATAGGGGACAGTCAAGAGAAGTGAAAAGATCATTTTAAGAGTTTAGGTTTCATTTGTGGCTTGACTCCATGAAGAGTCCTCAGATGAAGCAGAGCCAAGGTGTCCTGTTAGGGGGACAGCTGTTCTTTATGCAAACACCTGTTTAAAATATGGACTGGAATGGCTACTTCCTCCACTGCTATTAGACTAAGTAAATCCCAAACTGGATATGCATTCCCTAGAATGTTACAAAATCAGCATATCTGGCCTGTAAAAATTCCTTGGGAACACTGTATTTTGGAAGATGTAGCTTCTAAACTTACTGCAATGAGCATCTGCCCTATTCAGATAGTTGCAGCCTGTATCTTGTAAATTGTATAGTGGTGAAACTGTAATATTATTATTGTCCAATATCCACTTGAGTGGAAGCTCTTTCTTTTAGTAATTCAGGTGGTAGACTAATGCTGGAGGTGTCAATGGATTTTCATTCTACACAGCATTATTGATCTTGGAGAGTTTTGCCTGTTGTTTGGATTGCTTTCAGTTTGTTTCTGGACCCTATTTTAGTAGGCCTCTAATTTTGGAGGTGGAGAAATATTTCTGTCTGATTCTTCCTATCTTTCTTGCCTGTCATTTAGTTAGTGAGGGGGCAAAAAAGCTCTTAATGGGGCCTAGTATTGTTCCTTAAAATCCTTCTAGTTTCTATTATACCCTGAAATGCTCCCTGTAATTGGTAATGGCACTGCAAATGCTTAAAATCAGTGAATCTAGAAAACTACTTGACATTGTGAACTGCTTTACAATGACTCATGCTTCTGATCTACAGACTCATTCTGTCCATATGGATAAAACTACATGCAGCAACTAGTTTCAGCTCTACTGGGAGATGCTCTCCTAAAGGAATGGATTCTCACATATAAGTGAGATCTTCTGGAGGATTATTGCATGCTACAGTCAACAAACTAACGGAGAAAAAAAGATGCACATCTTATAATAGAATACTGGCATGAATCAAATCATACAGATGATTATGGGCATTTTACATAACGAGTCAAAATTAGTTTTTCAGTTTTATCACATATCTGAAGTCCACTATATTTTATTCCACTTTGAGACTGACTATTATTATTTTAAGTTAAAGTGAACTTACTTAAAAGGGACACTTATTTTAAACAGTACTAATAATTCCAGCAGTATGCTGGAACTAGTAACAACTCTAAACCATAGATAAGCTTTTAAAATTCATTATTTAGAACACTCAGTAGCATATCAAATTCTAAATGCTAAAACTGCAAACTTCTTATCCTGAGAGGCTTAAAAAGAAGCAATAATTAAATAAAGCAAGTTACAACTAAATCAAGTGACTGCATATATTTGCCACTATCACACAGGTTTCAGGGCTTAGCAGAATCTTTTGAAGCTTGATCTAGAATCTCTAAATCTTGAATAAGCAACTCTGGAATGATACTGACTCCACAGCATCTTATGATTCTTCCCATTTGTATTAATGAACAAGTTGTTGTAATGGATAGAAGTAATTTGAACTGTACACTTAATACATTTAAGTTCAAAACATGATCCTGCTCAGAGAAACCCAATTAATTTCAGTTGTCTCAATATACAGCAAAATATCTATTTTAAGTATGTATAAAGATAAGCCTACTGTCAGGTACTACACAGTAGCGAGTATGTGGTGCTATATTGCACTTCACTCTCAATTCATGTCCTAATCAGGATTTGAGGAGATAAACCCACGTACCATTGGTATACGTTTCTAGGTTCCAAGAATCTGTGGAAAGGGCTCCTTTCCAGGTGTCTAAAACCCTGCATCCTTCAAAGATACTACAGGGTTTTAGTCAAAGATGTGATCGAGTGAAAAGTAGCAATAAGCATGCTTCCTATACTAATACGGAAATAGATTTCAAAGATCCTATCAACTACATGTTTTAAAGTACTTTACAAACTTAAACGAAAAGAAAGTATCCTATAAGGTTGTTAACAATTGATTTTTCTTATGAGGACAATGATACTGAGAACAGCACACAATATCTTACTGTCAGCAGAAGATACAGATACTGGAATTATCACTTCCAGTTGCTAGTCTACCACCGATGGTTAGCATAAGGTGCCAGTGTTTATGAAGATCTCCCTTGATTGACTAGACAACACTTCTACTTAAATATTAGTATAATAATGTAATAGTGAACCATAGAGTCTGAAATAAATTTTGTGCAGGTACTTTAAACACTACTTGATTGATGGAAAAGTTTATGAGTGTACCCCAATTCTGGCGCTTTCTAGTCCTCAATTCAAACTAGCAAAATGGAACTGATAGATTTCCTGATTAGCCCAGAAATGACTGTTAATCTTGTTTTACTTAAAAACGATTTCTGCCTTTGCTCTTTTCTCAGTTTGACTTCATACCTTGAAATGTCTCATAACAGAAGTACTGACTTCACCTTTTCACTTGTTCGTAAGGGATGTATCTGATGTTACAAGACTGCAAGTTCCACCAGCAGTGTGCAGACTGCTCATAACCTCATTAACAAAGTTGAGAGCCTCAGTCCCCTGCAGAATTAGGATGAAAATGTGTCATTCCCTAATCTTCTGAAATCCTCATAATCTTTCAATGATAACATTTCTTGCTCAAATTCTGACTTTGGGAAATCTTGCTACTTATTAAGAAGTCATTGTTCCTGAACTTTTGCCCTTCTTTATATGTTATAAAAGTATAAAGCAACTAGAAAACATGCTGATCAAACTTTGAAATTCTTGTGCCATATCCTGAGGACAATTATTTTTGACACTTTACTTCCACGATTGTGCAATATAAGCGAAATTGTTTCATTTTTTATTTTTGTAAACACTGTATGAGAATACAGTATTAAAACCTTTTAAGAAGAATGTGATCTGTAATACCTTTCCTTCATTCTAGAATAGCACCGTTTTGATCATTATTATACAATTGGCTATCTTTTTGATTCTCCTTTTCTCGAATATCCATAAATGAAAACATCCAAAAGGCTTAAATCAGTAAGAACATTGTTAGCTAAAATATATTTTAGTGTGTAAGGAAACATTGTATGTGTCCTTTTGATCTCTTCATGCAATTTGTATCACAGAATATTTCCTATTCTACTTATGCTGCTACTTTTCTCAGCTCCAATAATAAAAAATGCTTTCTAGTTTATTATATGTCTTTATTTTAAATTTACACCACTTCTTTCTAAAAAGAAACATATCTAACACATCTGTTGGTTTTGTAACACTGCTGGTGGCTTCACAATGAAAAAAAATAGGATTGTTAGTGCTTAAAAAATCTAAAAACCTCAAAGGATTTACACTTTTGTCCTTTCATCAAATTCACTCCTGTGCATTTCCCTTGTTAGGAAAGAGTTAACAGCCAGCCAGCAGTCTGTAATCAACAGGTTGCTCTAACAGAAAAATAATAACGCTAATCTATCTTTTAAAGTTTAGGAGGTTGGACTAAATGATGAAAAAATACTAATTAAAGCCCTCTTAAAAACAGAAGTGGGACCAGTACTAAAATGCTTTGTGTTTTAGGAGAAAAATCTTTCTCATTGCTAAGTGAAAGAACCATCACATTAAAAAAATCATAACTTTAAAATTTCTGTCTTACCATCTAGAATTTAATTATACCTCTGTCTATATAAAATGATAACAAAACACTTGCTAACCTTTAGGTGGCCAATTCACAGGCAGGTGGAGAGGTTCAGGTCTCTGGAATAGCGTTGAAACAAAAGAAGCATCCTGTTTTCTTTTTTCAGTGTCTTTCTCTTCTCTTTTTTTTAAGCATTTGAAAATTGAAGTGGGTGGTGGGGTGTGTGCAAAGAGAGGAGGGGGTGAAGTCAGCCCACGCTTAGTGTAGGAAGAGTTTTAATGGCCGATGCTGGTAATATGGTTTGCCTGCTACAGTGTCTGCACTACTGCAGCTCTGTGTGTGGGCGTAAAGAAATGACACGACTGGGTTTCAAACCATTACACTGAAGATTTGCAAACAGTTAAAAAAAAAAAAACACAACCCCATCAGGCACAAATGAAAAATTATTACTTTTTTTCTTTTATCTTTTTCTAACATTTGTTTGTTGTTTTTTTAACTTAACAGATGTAATCCAGTCCAGTTTCTTCCTCAGCCTCTAAATTAAAAAAGGTAAATTAAGTATTTAGGAAGGTTTTTGATTTTACATGGTATGAACATTTTGTTATGATTTTTGCTGCTATTTTTTAATTAACATGCAAGGGCTTGTATTCCAAAAGGCATCCAGATTTCCACAGTAAAAGTCTTCAGAGGACACCTATATTTCTGCCTTTGAACATAGTAAATAGGTACCCCAATCTTGGTAGCACCGAGTAGCATGGCACAAGAGACATAGCAGCCACTCCACAACTGGCCAGGTAGGAAATCTAAGACCATGACTATTCCCGTGAATATTCCACGAAACACAGCCAAGAAAAAATGGGATATCCTGGCAG